CAAATCTGCTGCGACCTGTTAACAAGTATCAAAAGAGATTCAGAGCTTTCAAATTACTGGCTCCCCGATATGTTCTCAAACTGATATTTTATTTTAATTTACTTATCGTTCAAAAATCAGTAAAAAAAAGAGTGTGGTAATATGGGAGAGAAATATAATCTCGTCTCAATCATTGAGTGTTACACAACGAAAAGCAAACACTTTTGTTTCTTATAATTGTTTAATATGTGTTGTAAATGGCATCAGAAAGAGCAAAATTTGATTTTCACATGAAAGTAAATAATTTGAAGAAGCTAGAGGGAAAAATCTTCCTGGAAGGTCTAGCAAACGGAAATCAGGAACACAATACTCTGTAAATGTTACTGTCAACTTTGTTTATTCCGATCCGGTCTGTTAAGTCGACCCAGCTACAGTTACCAGATTTTTAAATTTCTAAAATTATCAGCTACTTAGAGACCATCATTGAGTCCTACTTTTAAAGAAGGAAATGGTGGGAGATGTCGTAAAGACTACTAGCGCCCCCAGCGTCGTTGCCACTTTACATCCTCTCTCACGTCCTTTGCTTGCGCTTACGCTTCCTGTTTCCGGATGATAAGCGCAATCTTCAGCTGTTAATCCCGTCTCGAAAGGTGGCTGACTCGTAAAAGAGTAAATTGCTAGCACATTTGATTAGCAGTTAGTCCAAAGCGTATGATACGTAAAAAGCTTACGCTAAATAGAATGCACTTGGGTTAAATGGATGTGCTTGAGAGTGAGATTTTAAAGTTGAAAGCACTATTGACGAATGTATCATGAATTTAAGTTTGTGACGTTGATGTAGCAGTAACCATAACCAACCCTAGTGAAAGTGGCAAGTTCTATTGAGGATTTTAAAGCACAAATTTGGAATATTGGAATAAATATTGTAATAAACGATTAATACCGGTTTACTATTTAATTTGATTCTATGCCGCTGTTCACCAGAAAAAAAACAGTACATAGAAGAACAATGAGAGTAAACGAAATATTGATAGCAAAGGAAACTCGTGGTACTCAGAACTGTAAAACACTGACTGAGCAAGATAATGAATGCTTCAATTATCATTGATCATTTTACTTATTGAAATAGAGTTAGAACGTGGTAAATGCTCAAGAGTACTAAGTGCACCAACAATTCTCATCGTTATTGATAGTAGAATTTATCACTTTAAATTTTACAAAATCTCATTTTGCAAACAAGTGTGTTGAATTGTATAGCATTATACAATTACGAGTTAGCATTTTGTAGCATTTGTTGAGAAAATTATTATTCTGAAAGTTGGAGATAAAATTATTTTGACGATTTTTAAATTTTCCATTAAAATAAGGAAATAAAGAAAACTAATTTAACATTTCGCCATTTGTGAATTTCAACTAATGTAAGAGCGTGAGATGTAACGTGTGTGCCATGGGCGTAGGACATTCCTCTTCTTCCCGTGACTTTCTCCGAACAGCGAACGGCTGAAGCTGAGACCACTTTATATTGCCCTTATTGCTCAGTCTTTCAGGATCTGTTTCTTTTAATGCTCTTATTACGATTTTCTTTGTTTTGTGAGTTAAATGTTAGTTATAAATTAATAAATACTGCCACTCTCAAATTATATGCATTCAAACATTAATGTGTTGTTGTCTATGTCTAGTTAGAAATCCCTAGATAGAAGAGCGAACACGAAGGAAAACATAAAATGCAATTTAGCAAGTATGTAGAATATTCACAACTACTTCGCACTTTGTTTGTGATTTAGAATTTTGTTATCGATTTCGCAGTTTATCGGAGATTAAAACCTTCAGAAATATACTGCTCCGACTGTCAAACATACTAAATGTGTCAGTGTTTGGTAACATTTCGTAGTTTAAGCAATTGCTAAAATCTACTATCTCTACTCGTCGTTATCACATCCTACCTGCACTCAGCCAGAGGGTGCGGGCTCACCTGTCTCCGTCATCAGAGGAGGTCGAAGGTGTCGCCTCCGGCCGCAGGGCGCTCTTCAGCCTGGCGGTGCTCGAGGGTGCGTGCTCTCGCTAACGCAATCAGGCGCCGAAACTAACACAGAGCTCCCGGGGCGACAGAAGTACATCAGCACCTCCGTCCTCCGTCCTTCGTCCTTCGTCCTCCGTCCTCCGTCCTTCGTCCTTCGTCCTTCGTCCTTCGTCCTTCGTCCTCCGTCCTCTCGTCCTCCCGTCCTCTCGTCCTCCCGTCCTCTCGTCCTCCCGTCCTCTCGTCTTCCCGTCCTCTCTTCCTCCCGTCCTCTCGTCCTCCCGTCCTCTCTTCCTCCCGTCCTCTCTTCCTCCCGTCCTCTCGTCCCTCGTCCCTCGTCCCTCGTCCCTCGACCCCCGTCCCTCTTCCGTCACATGTCTGGTCTGATGGAGGCCGTCACTCCATCACATGCCTCATTAGACACAAATATTGTGTTAGTGTTTCACACAGGATGATTAGATGTTCAACGACCCAATGTATGGACTGACTAAGATTCTGACTGAAGCGATTGGTCAACGTGCCCTTCACCTGGATCAAAGTGTGTCCAAATTTGTTTTCGCGGTTGGGAACATAGAATTTCACCCGAAAATTTTGGGGAGGGGAACTTTACGTTTAATCTTGCAGCAGCCAAGTGATTTTAAAACAATGAGCGATTTGAATGATTAACAAATACAGCACATATTAGAAGACACTAGTTGGGAGAGAATTAAAAATTTAGCATTAAAACTTCTTTGAAATTGAGAGAAATGTACTTTTTTTACTTCCAAACTTATGCCTATTAAATTCGAAAATTATGAACTTTAAACTTTATTTACAGAATTTGGTTCTTACTTTATTTTAAAACAATAGTTCTAAAATACGAATTTAATAAAGTATCAATTTCATATGGATGGTTCATAAATTCAATTATATATTGGTTGGCAATTGTCTCACTTGACTAGCGAAATCAGATAGAGCTGGTATGCGGGAATGCAAAATATCTGTTACGAGCCTTGCCGCTTCCATTGTCTTCTTAGAGATGCCTCACAAGTTGTAAGACCTCGCCGTGCACAGAAACATCCGGCCGCAGAGTGCATTCATTGGTAGCATGTCACAGATGCCCAACGATTGTAAAAGGTGTGCCTTGCGCTGTGTTTGAGATTTTATAATAGTTTACGCTTAACGTATTTTATACTTATCAGACTTACAAAGGGCGGTAGTGGAGGTGCTGCTTTTCAAAGAATAAAAAGCAATCAAAGCTATCAACACATATCCATGACGAAAAGAACACCTAGTTTTCTACGAGATCCTTGCTATGTGAGCTTATGCAATGACAAAGGAAAGTAAAAACTGAGGTTCATGTTCAATAAGTTTGTGAAGAGAGTTACATTTTTCTAATTTTATTACAAAATTTTAAACAATTTACTTTTTTTCTGTAGAATAGACTGTAGCATACTGAAATAGACAAACATTACAGTAATTGTTAAAATATATTATGAGCAGTACTACAACTACTACAGAATAAAATATAGCACCTATTCTAATACATTCACAGTTATATCACAGAAACATTTTGTCATCGGTTAGCACCACATTAACATTTATCAACAACCACACAGTGAACGATGGAGCAATGTAGAAATTTTCTTATCAATAAATATTTGCAAAATAAGTTGGATAGACATCATCACAAACTTAAAATATCACTACAGGAAGCATGTGAGTTAAAAGACAACATTTACATCTTTGCTGATTGTGTGTTCAAACTTTATCGTCTTTAATTAATCTCGTTTACGTTAGAAGAATTCATGATAATGATATATACCCTGTTTGGAAATAATTATGTCTAGTAAGTCGTTGATCGTTTTTTTGATAAACATTTTGTCTGAAATATTTTCTAGATAAAATCTACATTCGTTGAAACGTATAGATTGCGTTTCTATATTGTAAGACATATGTTTCCCCTCTATTTCATTTATTTGATTTGTCTGCAATGAAATACCTGAAAGAAGAATAGAATAAAATAATATCTGGTGAATGAACACGTTATTTATATTCATCTCATTTTGTAAATTAAAATAGTTTCATTGGCTCTGCAGACATTTCTTCAGTTACATGATTTTTAAATTAAATCTTTAGTTGTTTTGTATTTTTAAATTCATTAATGTATTTCTATTCAAAATCAATAACATTAGGGAGTATAATGGAGACTATCATGAAAAGTACATTCTTCAAGAAAGGAATTTGGAAGATATTAAAGCGGCTTTAGTTATGTGTAGCATTCAGCGAACAACGGAATTTATTCAACGCTTCTTGCTACAGATATGTCAACGCGACGTTCCGGGAAACGCAAATGGCTGCTTCCGTGAACGCGATCACGCACCATGCTTGGGCGCCATTTTGTATCTACCCACTTCTGAGCTCAGAGGTAGATGGCTACAAAACGCCTCTCAGAAATTTATTCACCTGCCTCATTTTATGATCATTAAAATGACTCTTGTTTGAACGCTTCTCATGACCATTAGTACGCTCTGTCATACTTGTACCTTTTCTTTGATTCTCGTAAGCTACAAACCTGTAAGTACCCTATCCATCTCCAAACGTTCACGGCCATTTTTTGTTTGTTTGATGTGTTGGTAATTCTTTTTCTCCTGGGATTTACAATTACGAACGTAGGGGACACAGCTTGCGCCAGAAAAATGTACAGCACTGCGCGTGAACGCCCATCGGTTCGCTGCTCCATCTGGCAACCTCCCACCCTATGATTTATATTGCTTCTTGGCAATCGAATTCTTTAAATGCGCCTTCAACTCCGTCTCGAAACAATTCCAAACGGGAGCGAAGGAAGGGTCTGTCCCCTAGGTTGGCAGTTGGGGGGGGGGGGGCTCTACGCGAGCTCGAAGGGGCACCTGCCCCCGGGCGGGGCGGCGTCGGGGCGCTCTGTGAGCAGCGCCAGGCCGCCGTTGGCCGCGGGGGCGACGCGGGGGGCAGGGATTATCGCGAGGGGCGCGGCGACGCAGTCCACCGGCAGCCGCTTCTTGCCGGCGGCGGCGGCGGCCAAGTAGTGCGCCGAGGGCAGCACGCTGACGGTGGTGAAGGACGTGCTGGAGTAGCAGGAGCCGCGCGGGTGGCTGTGGCGGGCCTTGCCCGCGTACCGCCCGTTGCTCACGAGGACGCCGCTGCTGAGGCGCGCCCGGCCCGGCAGCCGCAGCCGGCGCACCAGCCGCCCCGGGAAGGAGAGGTGACTCCACTTCTTGGACAGCTCGGCGCGCACCTCCCCGTTCAGGAAGCAGTACAGCAGGGCCACGAAGAAGCCCTGGCGCACACGGGGCGGTTCAAAGATGCGTGTTTTTGCGGACGCGTCAACGGCTATAGTCATTAGTGCCGTAAATGTAGTGCATGGTTTTGTCCCGGGAGGTGGCTGATGAGCGCGATAGTTTGTGATCTCCAACAAGTCGGCTGGCCAGGTTTTACTCAACAAGGTGTCTCCCATCGTGGCATAACCCCAGCCTGGACAAGCTCTAAGCTTCGGACTTGTCTTACAACGTACATGGTATTGTAGTGTGTGATTGTGTACGTGTGTGTAAGTAAGGGTAAGGCTAAAACAAAGAAGAGGAAGGAGAGAGTGCTCACGGCCCTTGGCTCGTTCGATAGACCATGATTGTTGCACATGCATTACACGGCTGGTCAGAGAATCACAGAAAATTTCCGTTCAGACCAGCTGGGCGCTAGAATTCTCTGCCAGACAGCGGCTAAATTACACCTAACTCCATAGCTAGTGTCAAAAAATCCTGCACCCGTCGGAACTCGTTTCCAGGACCTCCTGGTCAGGAATACTGAATCATCAGGGTTTCAGTTGATACCCTGAGCCACCTACGCCAGTCGCACAGACGGAAATAATAGATACAACGTTTGTTGGTAGACTTGGAATCGAATTGAATCGGCTCGTGTTACCACAGGACTCAATCGTCTGCCTCTACGAGCTGGGCTGAGCCAGTAACCAGCTGAGACAGGCTCAGTTTTCAGATGCCTTCCATAAGCCTCTACGTAAGGAACGTCTCGAAAAGTTTCCTTGCCTTTACTTTTCCCATTGTTCTCAGAAGGTGGGAAATATCAGCCAACCCTGTCACCCCAACATCGAGTTTGGCACACTGCTGCTTCCGTGGCCTTCACTGCCGTGGAAGCCAATAAGGCTAATAGACCGCACTCCCTGGGAAATAGGGTATGATGCAATCAACGAAACGTAGAAGCATCGTAATAAAACATATATCCAAAGAAATCAAGTGTTGAAAATTGTTGAAAATAAATACTGTAAAATTATTTTGGTAATCATATTTCCATACGAGAGATATAATGAATACGTCAAAAACCATCATTTCTTCGCTAAGACGAGTGGAATATATTTCAAAATTAATAATTTGAAGTTGATAATGTATAGTAACGCATTGAAAGTGTGCTTCAGCTTCTGAGAGTTGCTGAAAGCGAACTACTTTTGTAGCTAGTCTCGAAATTCCACCTCTCTGGTTTCTTGTACCCTTGTGTACCCCGGCCAGCGACACTGTAGTGTCAGGAGCTCGGAGCTTGTGTCAGTGACAGGAATAAAACATTCACTACACTAATGGGACTAACGGTCCTAGCAGTTGAAATGACATAAGACATCAATCAACCAATTTATCAGTAACTCAATGATATTGAAAAAACTATCCATTAAAAGTTAGGAGTAATTTTACCTATAGAATTTTCTTTTAAAATTTTTTACTGATCTTCATTACGATGAAATATAGTTGTACTACCATGATTGCTCCAGTAGCACGTATGTTAAAATTTTACGATTCTTTAATTTTAAATTTGGATAAAGTCTTGGTTCATTGTGATAACATATTTTCCAATTACATAAAGCGCGTTTTTTGTCACAAAATGGTGGGTTCATTATCGCACTTACATTGAAAGAAGCAAACAGCTGATCGCAGAACAGCCACACAATTTCAACGGTGCTATCCGTGCTTAGGTGAAGCCCGAGGAAAACCATATAATGGACGCCAAACAGAGGAACTAGCACCAGAGTGGACTTCGCCCATCGTCTGAAAAGAAAGCTTCGCTAAACGTTAGTCTATCGTACAGAGCATGTTGAAGCCGCTGACGGAGTGATCCAATTCATCTGCATAAACTCTTCACCAACGTCTTCTAGATATTGTATGAACAAACATTGCTTATCCCTACCGCCAAGAGAGGAGCTCAGAAGACCACCCATGATTGTTTTTAAGAAGCTTATAATCATTAATATTATTTTTCACATGCTTTTTTGTTCAAAATAAAATTCAATTTATCGCAATGTGCGCAATAGTTTGAGTTATTGCAGCGTTTTTGGTTGGGGGTAGAAAAAACATTCCGAATTATCCATTCACAAAATTGAACATTGAGAATACATTTGCAGTATTTTCAGTCGTAGATTGTATTTTTTGTTTAAAAGGTGATAAGTTTCGTCATTAAGTATAAATATTGTTGCGAGAAAATGGATTTTTTCATTTACGGTGCTAGAAACGTAATAATGTTTTTACAATTGTAATGAATGCGTATATATATTTTTAATTAAATCGTTTTTGTATATATGAAAATTATAAAAAAAATCAATAAAATCAAAATTTCAGTGGTGAACCTCGAAGCTCCCCCCTTTAGTAACGCACAGAGTCATTTATAAGTGTTGCTAGAGTTAAACATTTTTTATATTCCCGCAATGAGCTGGAAATTAGTTCGTACGTCTTAGTTACCTTGTCCTTGTGGTTATGTCTCTTTCTCTTCCTACTAATCTCTTATTTCTCTTACATCCCTCGTCTGCAACTGACATGTCATGCCTCAATCCCGTACAGCGATGTAGCCTACGGGTTACTACTTAACGTAATGTATACATAATCCGCTCTAAACGAAGTCCATTGGGCCATCGTGCTTAGCCCTGATTACCAAGCGGGAGTATTTTGACCACGTCATTTAACATCACTTCTGTGACCATATAGTTCTAGTAAGTTGCACAGTGGCACACTAGATACCGAAGGGGCAGGTACTAGGAAAATGGCCGTGTTAACCGCACCCTTAGCATTCCCAAAATCTTCCCAAGAGCAAAATTATGGAGAATAGAACGAAATTGAATGGAGCATCAGGGGGACTCCACCACGCCAAAAACTCACGTCTAAACATACACGATGAGACTTGATTCAAACTACGACACTCAGCTCTGAAACTGTATACCTACTGGTTTAGAAGTTTCTGTTTCTTAGGGAAAGCTAAATAAACATATTTTATAGTGATGTATTTCACTGTGCTTCACGCTTCATGAGAAGAAAACGTAATTTTCTTGCTAGACCACCGTTAAAATCCAGCTGTTAAATTGGGGTCAGAAAAACGGCGCTTATGCTGCAAACGAACTGTATTCACACCGCTAAGTACCTCTGCCTTTCCAAATAAAGACGTAACATACGGCTGTGCTCCTCATGAATCTACGTAGCATAGTCTAGCCTAGTAAAAGAATGAAATTACACAATTAAAACTTCATTAAAAATATAATAACAATAAAATAATAAATATAATAAACAACATATTTTAAAATGGCTACATTTGCGAGAAAATCGACCTGATGAAATTTTTCTTTTCATTTGAGCTCGAAATTCGTTACTGTGGAGTTTATGCAGGTAATATGAATCACACTGAATAAAAGAACTACTTACGAAGCAAATTCAAAATATAACAATACCTGTAAGTTTTCGTTTCCTCACTAAGAGACGATTTTAATTTGAGCAATAAGACTCGCACTATGTTTATGAATAGAATAAAATTCACCTGAAACAAGAGTACATATTTTAAATGTTTATTAAGTACATTGTATAATATTAATTTTTAGGTTATGATGGTTTGAAAGTTTTGACTATTTATCGTGACAATTAGAAAGGTAATAGGAGTTAAATTGAGAAAGAGACCACTGTGCTGTTAGAGTACCTTGACAGCCACCAAAAATCAATGTTTCGATAGTGCTTCTTTATTTTTATGAGTCTAAATTATTTGGCAAACAATCTCTCTCGTTGATTTTTTTACGAAAATTGTTTTTAGTTTTTTTCTCAGGTAAAACTAAAATCTTTAGTATCGCGAATAAATATTTCATTTAGAAAGAGTTAATAATTGAGTTCATACCACAATGGATGCGACAGTTGGTATCCTTATCAGAAGGAAGACTGTAGTGTTGTCGTTAGTTGTCCAGCACCATGTGTTTTCCATAAGTGCTCTGCACAGCGTCCATGGTAACACAAACATTGCCGGCAGGCCTGCATACGAGGCAAATAAATGTCACTACGCTAAAGATCCTCAAAAAAATCAAAGAATATCCTGTATTTAGTAAACAACGGTGAACCACGAGAAATAATATTGAACTAGAGTTCCCTATTCCATTCAACATCTAATATTTAAAACTCATTATGATACTACTTCATAGAAATGACTGTTGATATACAAAACATAAAAACTGATGATATGAAAAAATGATATGATGAAAAACATTATTTTGAAAGATTAATGATGAGGTAAATGATTACACTAACTTCCGTTTCGTTCCCCTTTGTGAATTACATTATATTTTGGTTATCAATCTACATTAAATATTAACCATGAATTACTATTTACGAGTAAAGTATAGGTTTCCATAAATAGTTATAGTACTCTTAATAAGTATCGTAAATATATTGTTATAAGTCGGAAACCCCCGATTTAATTTGAATAGGAAAGCGGCATCAAGTTTGTGTAATACGATGCAATTGTATGCAGGCTTGGGAACCAAAGATATACCTGGTGAAGACAACCGATAAACAAAGTGTAGCATTCCATAATTGGTGCCATAGCGCTGTTCCCTTGGGGAGTCACAGCCCCGGAGACATTACATGCGAGAGGAATGGAGATGGCATTAAAAGTCGTGATTCTGTGTGAAGAAAAAAATAATCACTCTCTCGATAGCTACCCAGCTGAACACACGTAAGCAATCCGTGCGGTGCGAAAGTTTTTCAGCATAGACTGCGGTATTAGTTGAAAGATGGCGAGGTGCGGTAACTTATGATTAGTTTTGGTAGCATTGTGCAGGGTAAGAAGTCGAAGGTGTTATTCGCGTTGAATTATAATTTTTATTTTTATTATGTAACATGGGATTTGAAGTCAAAAAGACTACGTGTTTCGAAGGGATTTATATCAGGATAGCTCCGTGAATGGGGAGGAATTTTTAATAAGTCGCCTGAAGATAGACGCGCGTAGGTGTTTCATTCAAAGCCAAAGCAAATCGCGTACGCGAATTAATTTAATACAAATTACTGAATTTTATGAAGCATAAAATAGTATAGGATATTCCGGGAATATGTATAATATATTTTAATGATAGGTAAAAGAGCTATAATAGTGGTATCGAGGACATTTTACGGACATCAAGTTCGAGGACATCTGAGAAGAAAAGGACATCATTGGAAAACATTGGAGCCCGAGGACATCCGAGAAGAATATCTGACAAGTAATCGCAGTAAGCTTACGAAATTTATTCAAAACCGTACGGTAGTTTAATGATTGAACAGATGAAAAGTTAACCATTTCATTCATGAGCTCAATGGAATTTTGAAAGAATGTCAGAATAAATGTTAAATATTATTATTGAGATAAGGAATGGCTGATAATTTATAGTAGTTGCCATCAATTCAATAACAAGTTTTAATCCACTGAAGTCCAGGAATCGTAATTGCGTATAGAACTACACGTCCAAATGCAACATGTAAGGAGAGAAATGTTGTATGCCGAAATCCATAATTAAATTTAAATGTGAAATTAATATAACAATATTTTAACATTGAGACAAATTATGAGCCTATTAGGGCAACGAAAGAAATAATAATACTGATAATAGCAGAGGAAGTAATCTCTACATAATATCCATATGGTTGTTTAATCATGTTTTATCTCTACATAATATCCATATGATTATAAATCAAGATTTATTAATATCAGTAGGAAAAGTGGTATTTCGCAAATGACTTGCTCAACGCCAGGCAACAAAAGTATACGTTCGGTGAAAGATATTTAACAATTTGATATTGGAATGCAAAACTATTGAGACTAATTAAATACCACAATTAATATACAATTGTTTCCGGATGATACGGCGAAAGAGAATCGAAAAATCACTACCGTGTTTCTAAGTCACTAATTCAAAAAGTTTCAAACTTATTCAATGACATTTTCATTTGCGCATTTGACAACATGCTCTTGAAAACATGCTGACACATACCCCAGCCTAGGACGATGTACATGGTGATTGAACTAGAATCTGAGAAGAGAGCCAGAAATATCAGATTGTGCAAATAGAGCCCTTCCATCAGAATCCAAGAGTAGTTCGCCATTATGAAGTACTGCCAGAGGCTGACAATTGTTCTGCATGGCCAATTAATCTGCAACAATATTTGTCGTGTACACTTCTTATCATCAAAATACCTCCTCTTATCCTCAATAGGCAAAAAATTAATAAGTAATATTGACCTTATTTGATTTTTTCTTTTTGCTTACCTGGTGTTCTATGTTGAAGTAGCTTCCTTCCTCCCGCGTGAGCAGGTCTGTGGTCATGCCGAGGCCCTGCACGAACAGCGAGTCCTTGAGCAGCGACATGAAGGCGCGCATGATGAACGACGCGAACAGGTGCATGTGCAGCACGTTGCGAGGGCAGCGCAGCTTCCTATAAAAGCATCAGACCCACCTCTCCTTCTTATAAACGATAAGATAAGCAGAGAGGAGGAGGTGTACACTGTGCAATGCCTATAACAAACAATACGAACAGGTGCATGTGCAGCACGTTGTGCGGGCAGCGCAGCTTCCTGTAAAAGCATCAAGCCCATCTCTCCTTATAAACGATAAGATAAGCAGAGAGGAGGAGGTGTACAGTGTGCAATGCCTATAACAAACATTACGAACAGGTGCATGTCCAGCATGTTCCGAGGGCAGCGCAGCTTCCTATAAAAGCATAAGGCCCATCTCTCCTTCTTATAAACGATAAGATAAACAAAGAGGAGGAGATGTACACTGTGCAATGTCTATAACAATCAAAACGAAGAGGTGCATGTGCAGCACGTTGCGCGGGCAGCGCAGCTTCCTATAAAAGCATCAGACCCATATCTCCTTCTTATAAACGATAAGATAAGCAGAGAGGAGGAGAATGCACTATGCAATGTCTATAACAATCAATACGAAGAGGTGAATGTGCAGCACGTTCCGTGCTTTCTGTAAAAGCATCAGGCTCATCTCTCTTTCTTGTAAACGACAAAGTAAACAGAAAGAAGGAATGTATACTGTGCAATTCGTATAACAAACAATACAAACAGGTGCATGTTCAGTACGTTATGCAATAGAGGTTCCTAAAGGGAGTATCAGGCGAAGCTTTCAAGCAGAATATGGATAGAAAATGGAAGGGTAGGAAGATAAAGGATTATGATCTTTCGTAAAATTAATTGCGGCTGTATAGTTACATTACTAGTGTCAGTTCAAAAGAACACAAATTTACCTAAAATAAATAAAGAGTAGTATAAAAGATTTACAATATGTCCGGTTTTATAGGATCTTATTTCACACTAACTGCCACCACTACAGAACAGAACAAACAAAAACCGGGTGAATGCCTAATAGGTAATAGACATGTCAACCGCTGTGTACCAGCAGCTATCAGATGAGACCTGATTACACATAATGTTCACCATCCGTTACTCGTTACACTTGCCGATGGAAAACGGACTGGCGTTGTCACATCAGGGTAGTTTTGCTTTAGAAACTAAGAAAACTGAACCTATTCCTTGCCTTGCGCCTTCTACACTTCTTCCCCGCCCGTTTGAATCAAGCTTATGTCTATCAGATGTTTATTTTGCTTCTAATTATTAAGTTTTTAATTATTAAACTTAATGCTACTTTTTTATTTTTACATTATTATATTTATGAATCTTTAAAATTTAATATAAAAGTCGGAATATCACAAATTGTGAAAATGTTCATTTAATGTTGGGTTTACTTACGTAAGTGATGTAAAAAATAATTATTGAAACAGTAATTTTTAAAGAAAATAATTGGATTAAAATCATAATTTAATCAATATTTTAAATTATTTCTTCAAATTATCGTCTCCCTACTTGGCATTTCTCATTATGAATAAAAAAGATGAACTGTTAAACTAGAAACCGTTGTAACAAATGCTAGTGCAGCATGTATTGCATTTCTTGAAAGCGTGCAAGAAATGCGTGCTCTACAAATTATAGGGCATTTTATGGGTATAAAATAAGAGAGTGTGAAAATGAATTTTTGAAATACGCACTTTTATTGTTAGCAATATCACGCTAAGTAAAGGAAGAAATGCACATGTTGTGATAACTCAGACACAACATCGTTGAATTTGAAGTTATAGGGTTCGAGCCCTGACAGTGGTGGATTTTAAACTCTAACTGTAGAGCTGTATGAAAATCATCGCCTGCCTGGATGAGCATTATTGCAGTCGGTTTCTCTGATCGGTCGATTTGTGCCATTTTTACAATCAATACCAAAGGAATTCCGATGCATTCTTTATTCCTGTCCTCTGGTCGTCCTCGTCCCTTACGCTCCCTTACATAATCAACATCACAACCCATGCCTAGAGATTAGTCGAGAAATCATCCCAACTGGGGCGGTGCATCGTTGAGCAATACCTGGAAGGGAAGACTATGCCGCAAACCGGCATTAAGGTATGTTCAGGATATCACAAACAAGGAACTTCAACTTCGGGGGGATAACAATGACTATTTTTACGGGACTAAAGTCATTATTAGCTCCAGGAAGCAATAAATACACACTCGAAAAATACATCAACCAAAAGTAACTTAATTACATGCAAAGATACCAAGAACAATTCGAAAGGCAGGCAGTTTAATAACTCAATTACCCTCTTGCAAAGAAAACATTTTGGGAAATACTCACTTGACACTGGCCAGAATGAAGAACGCCACCAGCAGCGAGGCCAGCGACACGGAGTAACCAATCTCCGAGATTGTTTTCAGAGATCGTAAGAACGGCTGCAAAGACGCAATTTAGTGTCAAATCAATTTTGATTTCACACCAATCAGAGAAGGGTAAGTTATCAATCTCAATTGAAAAATGTAGAGATATATATTTTAAACAAAAATGGATTGAAATGCGGTTGTTTTAACCAGAAGAGGTTCTCACGTTTTTATAAGCCAAAGCAAATAGTTTCAATTTGAACGTCTCGCGAGCGAAACTGATTGTGACCATGATGCATAGAGACATAGCATTTTGCATCCGCAAGTAACGTGAAAAAATTGTGGAAATTTTAAGTGTTGAACTAAAGTACATTTTTGCAGTTTCTAATACATCATGCAGAATTGGCCAGGAGAATATTTACTAAGCCCATTGGTTGCTGTTGCTGTTATCTAAACTTGATCACATTTCTGAAGAAAGATACATCAATAACCATTATATTAAAGCACCTATTGAATATTTGTAAAACGGGGTCGATTCCAAAACGTTACGTGGAGTAAAGTGCGTTCGAATAAAACGAAACTCCTTTTCTCAAAATTTGTACTTTGAAGTAAGCAGAGCCTTTATAGTATTTCAAGGCATGTTGATTGATTGCAATTACAGGACTTTCCGTTTTTAATTTAAAGAGGTTCTGACGTTAAAAATCATTGTTCTCATCTAGGAGCCTTCGACTTAAACCAAATGAGTCATTTCTGGTGAAGATGACATACTACTGTCTTATCCTAAAATAAATGAACCTAATGTTTCAAATGTAATTTTGCTGAAAAACGCCTCATTACTGCACAGTAGTTTGTTGATTACTTTTCACACATAATCGACGTTCTGAACGTTGTGCTTAAAAGGGAGTCGAAGATGTGAGAATATTTATAAAAAAATCTGAAGAAAATTTATACTTTATTCGGACATACAGGACAAAAGACAAAAAAATGTAAATTGACGCATTTAGGGTGCACATTGCTATACGACTGTATCACCCGTGGCACTACAATCGCGCTTGGCCTCACCATCTGGCTGACAGAATTGCAGTGCTCTTCCTAAACACAAATTACGCTAATGATCTTTCGCGTCCACAAAAGAGCTTCTAGTCTTGTAAGCACATAAAACTGTTCAGTGAATCCAGCCTGCGACTAAATTGCAAAAAAATATGACCCGACAAAAGAAAGTGACCCAGTTTTGTTTCATTTTTGTGCATTTTTCTCGATTTTTCTCATTTTTTCATTTCAGACATTTTTATTTTATATTTTTATGATTTATTCGATTTTTATATCATTTGAATGGTACTCTTTTCATGAAATATTTACGTGATGCAGCAAGAGTTTACATAATCCCTGAGAAACCAATTCGATTTCTTTGCTCTGAAATTGTAATGTCAGCTGTTATTCGGGATAACTATTGTAATTTCAGAGATTTCCAGGTAAAGAACAGTCCAAATCATACCTGCAGTTTCTGAAAGGAAGTTGTACCTTGCAACCTGACTTCAGGAAAGGAAGAAGCCTCGAGTATATTAGTAACGAATACAAAAGCTTGAGTTGTTCATTTGAAATGGTTTTAATTAAATTTTTACGTCATTTGTCTTCGCTTTTAGGGCATTTTAAAAACTTTTTAAGAGTATTTTATTAATTATTTTTGGCAACGTTTTATGTCATAAAATCAACCCCCAATTTATTGCTAATATTATGAGAAACACGCTGATATGATTGCTTCCACCTGTTTCTTTGTTTCTATTATTCCTCTGCTATAAGTTCTAGTTCTGTAAAGTTGACTGATTCATATTTGTAGTAATATTTTTCAATTACCATTTCACTCAGACGGTCTGTGACTAAACAAGAAACCATTGATTTAACCTTTATGACAGATGCCTAATAGCAAAAGTTCTCAACTTTTCCCTTCGGAGTAATTTATGGAGTCGTGTATTTCTTCCTTTCAACTGTCATATAAGCTAACTCTTGGAATGTGAACTACGAGTATTCTATGGAGACAAAACGTCACTCCGACCTGTCTCTCAGATAGTAAGAGCTGATATTGAAGGTCTGGAATTTCTTGAAAAAATGTCCAATCTACTAGTTTTGAAATCTTATCAACAGATAAATGAATATCGTTCGGTAATAATAAGTAAATGGCGGCATAGTGCAGTCCACTTCTACTTCAACCAGTATGCTTTAGTTGTAACGAAAGTCAAAGGAAACGAACTATATAATTTTATAACATATATTTTGTTGATATGGAACTGTGATATATTAAATTTTGAGTACATTAATGTATTTATTCGTCAAATTAATATACCAGATATCACTCATTGTGTGGGCAATTTGAAAACGCTCGTGATTTATTGAAAAGCTTCTAAATTGTTACAGTTATATTAATGAGCCTGTTCTACAAGATGAAAACCTGTAATACTTAACATAAATAGTCTAGATTTACTCTTTGGAAAAATTAATTATGAAATGGGGCAAATGTTAATATGTATTATTGAGGGAGTTGCCTCTTGATTAGAGTCGATTTTATTTAAAACAGAATTACTTGTAGAAGAAAATGTTTCTTGTATACGAGTATTTTGAATTAAGAAAGTTCTAATGATTGTGGTAGTCAAAACATAGTGTTTGCGGTAGACATTTAGTTTGACATAGAATCATCCACATAACCGTCCGCTACCACAGAATCCTCCTAATGACCACCAACTCGCACATTGTTTCGAGGCTCGCCTGTCGTAATATATAAGTTGCGACTTGCCGCGACAGAACGCGCAGAACTGTGGCCCTCTGTAGGCGACTGCGAGAACCCTCTGCCGTGTGTAAAGAACTACGACGAATGTGATTGGTCGCCGGCGTGCGAAATATTACTATCGCACGGCTTGCGGCATCGTCATCATTACTGTATCCGAAAACGTGGAAAAAATATATACATTCTGGAGTAGACGTACATAAAATCAATTACAGGGCTACTCACACGCAAAACAGTATTAATTTGGGCATTACCCATTTACAAGTATGTATCTAAGTTTCTATAACAAAACAATTTTAAAATAACAGAGTTGAAATTTGGTAATATAAAAAAAATTCCCTTCAGAACGTTCTTACCTCGATGTGAGATTCATTCTTGGGTGAAACCTCAATATCCATAATAACAGTTGCTTCCGGTCCGCTGAAGCATTGTGAGAAATTTGTCCACGTACGATTAACTTCTCGTGTGTACCACACGCCAGCGTCAGTGCAGAATTTCGAAGCGTTGGCCTGCAACATTGAACTTGGTTCCTTCAAAACCACATAATGGCAATGCTCTGTTGATTAACATAGTGATATGTGATTCATCATAATTATGATTCCATTGTGATCAGTATGGGGGCTGTTGATTTCAGCTGTTTCTTTTTTTTCTAGTTAGCTAATGGATATGCAAACAAAATAATTTATCAATGATATGTGCAAGTGGAAAGTAAAAAGTTAAAAGCTTTTTCTGCGAGTACGTGAAACTTCTTAAAAACTATTTTCTGTACGTTATTAATTTTTTTTATTCTGTTTTATTATCATCAATCGTTCGGACACGCCCATAAATTAACTTACTACCTTCTGCATTTTTTTTTTCAACATCCAATTCTTTTTGTAGCTTATGATATTCTAAAAAATCTTATGATTCTTCTGACACTTCTAATCTGTTTTTCTCTATAATGTGTACACAACGTTATTTACACCTAACATTACTACCATAAAAACACAAAAGTTGTAAAATGAAGTACTAGGCAACAGAAAATACAATAGTGTTGATATCAGCAATCTCTTCTTCTCCATCTCCACCTCTCTCTCTCTCCCTCTCTCCCTTTCTCTCCCTCTCACTCCCTCTCTCTCCCTCTCTGTCTCTGGCAGAGAATTTTGTACGAATCTACGCGTCACTAATCTTCTAAAAATGAAAGAAACCTCTAGAGCCGCCTTTGAAAAAAATGAAAATATTCTTCAGGCTTTATATAAAGTACACCCCAACATATATCAGTGACAGAAAAAAGTTGTTTCAAATTCAAAGCCATTACATTACTCAAATTGATTGGAAAATAATTATCTTGGTGAAAATCCTACTTACGGTTTAGCTGTTAGCATTATTCATAGACAGACGGATACAAACGAACGGACATACGCTTTAGCCCTGAACCACTTTTTCGTTATCAAAGACTCACGTAACCTAGATTTTGAATACAAATTGTGTTTGAAGAACTATGTTTCCACACATAAAAATGAGATTAATTCCCTTTTTCGAGAAGTTGGCAATAAGAGTTTTTAGTCGAATAATTATGTTTTTTCCTGCAGCATTTAAAAACTTTCTCTATACTGCATAAGCAGTTTTCGGGAAATTAAAATGCAAGAAGACTAGAATAATAGATAAATAAATTGAGGATAAAGAAAAAGTAACCTTTAACACGTATTCGTTTCTAGAAAAAAATTGAGACATTTTTCTAATCTATTCAACGAAAATATTTTTTCAAGTGAAACTCAAAATTTTGTAGCACAACTACATTTTTCAATTATTACTCTCACCCATCCATCGAAGTATTGTAATTTTTCAGAACATTGAACGAACCCCTTCCCTTTCAAAAGGGGTATCTGTTTCTTCAATAACCTCTTCCCCAGGTTTCGGGGTGTGTTGGGTCTACCTCACCTGCGAATGGAATCCAGCGATGTAGGCCGGGCAACGTTGGGTGAGTAACTGTCCAGGCGACGCCCTGTCCCAGCACAAGATGCCATCCCACACGGGAGGGCAGGACTCACCTATGTACAACGCAGGAAAAACTAACAATTCATGCGACAAAACATATAGAAATATCTACGCACAAAAATGAGGACTATTCTGTTAGAGGCTGTTTAAAACTTTAGATTTAGCTACGAATTATGTTTGAAAGAGTTTTTAAATAGAAGGAATATACTATGTACGTTTTCCCTTGTGTGATCATTCAAAGATTATACTACATGTTCTTAATATAAACACTTATTGTTCTCTACCTTGTTATTTCTATGAGCTACGTTTTAATTATTATTATTATTATTATTATTATTATTATTATTAAATCAGTATGTTGGCTTATGTATTTTTCTGTTAAATATACAGACGCCAAGTAATGTCAAAAAACAAATACATTACGAAAAATATCAACCCATCTCAACCTACAACACTACAACAACGTAATGAAAATGCCCTTCATTCCTTCACCTCCATAGATCCCGCCAATCCGAAAGAAAAACGCAGATATGCTGTTTCTGACAGTAATGGAGGGGGAAAAACTCAAACCGCTACGAAAAGGGGAATGGAATAAAAGATCAGGCACGCGTCACCGTCTCGAGAAAACGTGGCTTACGTGACCTCTGATGTGTGCAGAAGGACGAGTATACAACAGGGCCGAGTGGGATTGAACGGAGACTTGATCTCAAAGATGTGTATACACATAAAGTGTGACACGTAAAGATATTATCTGTCTTCACCCACTCTCAACAGCCACCACTACGTTAAATAAAAAACACGCCGTTATCAAATAAAAATAAATTTAGTCTACAAATGTATGGCTCACAGTTAATAATTAAAAAATATTGTTAAGAGATACTAAACATTTCAGATAACAATAACAATTTTTGTAAGTGTAACTATTTAAAATACATACTTATAAGAAACCGAAGAAGTATGTGAAAGGTAAGACGAGTGACTAAGCTAGCCTTGTAACCTTACCGGCATCATTTTGCTCTGCTGTGACATTCTCGTCCAAAATGCGCCTCCAGCAGGCGAGCTCGCTGGCCTCCAGCAGCCTTGTCTGGTGCTCCTCGCTCAGCGGTGCAGGAATCGCCTGCGACACAAAACGGTCGGATATCAACCCTTTCTTTCAGAAACAAAGCGCCGGCATCAATTGAAAAACAGTGTGTCTCTCGTCAGAAAGTCTGGTTCGCTGGTCTCCAGGAGCCTCTTGTACTGCTTCTCTCTCACAGGGAGATGCGCTCGACACGGTACTCTGGAGACGTAGACTCAGTCCATCCTACATATTGTACAGGGCACTCAAAACAGGGTTTCAACTCTAGCCTCACAGTTATACTGACGGTAGCGTATATCGCTGTAATACATCGACCACGCTACACGTTATTTACATTAAACCGTATTTAATAAACAACAAGAAAATTAAACACCATAAACATGAGAGCGTAGGCTTCCGTGGCCGGAGTCAGTATTTAGTTGGCCGTCCGGATGACAACGCGTCCATGGCAAGGCTACGGCGTTTCGGTCGCGATTCTGCGACCTTGCTCAGGGCTTAATGCAATAAACGTCGGCACCTCTACCATGGACGGGGCGTCACACGGACAGTCAATTAAATACCATAAACATGTTATTACGGTTGTTATTCGGTAGTTTTGAAGTTCTTATACCTTCCTTCATATCACAGCTCAATGTTAAAAACATGAGAGAAATCGTGACTTCCCATGTTTTGTCCAGGCGTGTGACAAACCGAACAATGTGTTTATCGTTTATCGTGCGCGGTGAGATTTTATCCGTGGCGACGCCGTCGTGTGAACTCCGTGCGTTTTAGCTCACCCCTCGTGTCAATCACGCGGTTGCGTGACGTACACGGGGCTGCTAGGAAGGGCCAGTCACGCAAATCCTGTGAAATCAGGGCCTCGGGTCTTTTGTTATCGAGTTGGGCTAGAATCTCTCAGAGCTGTTTTTCAATATTAAGTAAACGGTATTTTTAAGTAAGTTTATTATTTTTTAAAGATGTGGTCCTTTTTCCCTGAAAGTGGTATTAATGTCCATTCTCTATGATTTTATCACGTTATTTATTTTGTATTGTTTTCACATATAGTGTAGAACAGAGAAATAGTGAAAGAAATGATTTAAGCGTCATAGTGAAAAGTGTAGTGAAGTGAAGTGAAGTGTAGTAAAGTGCAGTTGAACAAAGATTCAGTGGAGAGTTTGATTACGGTGCTTTTTTTAAGGTAATTTTAATTTTTTTATGAATTACCCAGTTTTATATCATTATTATTTTTATTATTAAGGTTATTTTTATTTTCATTATTATTTTATTATTATTATTTTTTATTATTTTATTATTATTATTTTTTATTATTTTATTATTATTATTTTTTATTATTTTATTATTATATTATTATTATATAATATGCATGTTAGCTGTAGTATTTTATTTATGTAATTAGCTGCCACCGGGTTATGCCCATTTGCAGTTCAAATAAATTTTTCTTTATTAATAAATTCCTGAACTATTATGCAAGTTTGCCACCTGGTGATTCAGCTCACCTCCACGCCCATGCTAGCCTGCGGCCACTTTTGCCAGCCAGATGAGCCCATTACTCGTTTTTGTATTGGCTGGCACTGTAGACTATTCGATTACGATAACGTATTCAAAGAGTTGTAATTGCTCTAAATTATCAGTTAACGATATTACAAAACTTGCATTTTTTAAACGAGAAATTATTTATTGTTCATTTGGTGTTCTTATCGCATTTAGTTCGTGATTTTTAAGTTGGTTGTCCAATGCTTTGTAAGTCTAGGGGCGTAGGTTTGGTTAATGAAAGTTTCATGTTACTTTGAAGGCAAAGTTGAGTCATTTATAAATCAATTGTGAATTTGTTACCTTGCTTCTTGCGCGTTGCTAACACAATCTGTTCTCATGCCGCATGAGGCGATATTTTATACATACGCATGAGGCGTTTTTTAATAACACCCTAAAACCCCGAGAGGTAACCAAATTTTAAAAATGCAATTCTTTTTAACCCAAAGATCAGGGACTTAAATTTATAAGGCTCTACAACAGGTTGAAGTTCTGCCTCTGCTTCGGCTTCTTAGTTAGCTCTGGATAGCAATGTTCAGAAAGGCCATACTGCAGCTAGCGTAAAAGGTCATTCAACGGTAGTTTTCTTTGCTGAAATGTATCAAAATGAGTTCATTTACATTTAAAGCTCATGTTTTCCGTCTGATGATTTTAAAGCTAGGAGAGTATTTTGAAAGTAGTTCTAATGAACTACATATGAACATATGTAGTAATGTTATAACAAGATTTGAAAGAAAATTAAATACACTTCGTTAGCATCCGTATGAAGCACTTCCCTAATGAAAGATCTTGCTGAATTTCAGAGACTTGAAGTGTGTTATAAATTAGTATTTAAATACATGTTTTCAAAAACAAATAGCACAATTTAGGAGTTTTGACGCGGAGTGAAGAACGGGGGGCTAAAAGCGAGAGGCGAAGGGAAAACGTGAGTAGCGAGGGCGAGGGCGAGGGCGAGGGCAAGGGCGTGGGTGAGGGAAAGGGCGAGAGCGAGGGCGAGGGCAAAGGCGAGGGCGAGGACGAGGGTGAAGACGGGGACGGGGTCCCGGGCGAGGGCGAAGGCGAGAGCGAGGGCGAGGGCGAGAGCGAGGGCGAGGGTGAGGGAAAGGGCGAGAGCGAGGGCGCGGGCAAAGGCGAAGACCAGAGAGAGAGGGCGAGGGCGGGAGCAAGGGCGTGGGTGAGGGAAAGGGCGAGAGCGAGGGCGAGGGCAAAGGCGAGGGCGAGGACGAGGGTGAAGACGGGACGGGTCCCGGCGAGGGCGAAGGCGAGAGCGAGGGCGAGGCGAGAGCGAGGGCGAGGGTGAGGGAAAGGGCGAGAGCGAGGGCGCGGGCAAAGGCGAAGACCAGAAGAGAGGGCGAGGGGGAGCAAGGCGTGGGAGGAAAGGGCGAGAGCGAGGGCGAGGCAAAGGCGAGGCGAGACGAGGGTGAAGACGGGGACGGGGGTCCGGGCGAGGCGAAGGCGAGAGCGGAGGCGAGGGCGAGAGCGAGGGCGAGGGTGAGGGAAAGGGCGAGAGCGGGCGCGGGAAAGGCGAGACCAGAGAGAGAGGGCGAGGGCGGGAGCAAGGCGTGGTGGAGGAAAGGGCGAGCGGAGGGCGAGGGCAAAGGCGAGGCGAGGACGAGGTGAAGACGGGGACGGGTCCCGGGCGACGGCGAGAGCGAGGGCGAGGTGAGGGAAAGGGGCGAGAGCGGAGGCGCGGGCAAAGGCGAAGGCCAGAGAGAGAGGCGAGGGCGGAGCAAGGGTGGTGGTGAGGGAAAGGGCGAGGCGAGGGCGAGGGCGAGGGCAAAGGCGAGGGCGATGACGAGGGTGAAGACGGGGACGGGGTCCCGGGCGAGGGCGAAGGCGATAGCGAGAGCGAGGGCGAGGGCGAGGCGAGGGCGAGGGCGAGGCGAGGCGGGGGGCAAGGAGCGTGGTGAAGGAAAGGCGCCAGCAGCGAGGGCGAGGGGCAAGGGCGAGGGCAAAGGCGAGGCGAGGACGAGGGTGAAGACGGGACGGGTCCCGGGCGAGGGCGAAGGCGAGAGCGAGGGCGAGGGCGAGGGCGGGGCGGAGGCGGGGGTGAGGAAAGGGCGAGAGCGAGGGCGAGGGCAAAGGCGAGGGCGAGGACGAGGGTGAAGAACGGGACGGGCTCCCGGGCGAGGTGAAGGCGAGAGCGAGGCGCGCGGCAAGACGAAGCGAGAGAGAGGCGAGGCGGGGCAAGGCGCTGGGTGAGGAAAGGCGAGAGCGAGGCGAGGGCAAGGCGAGGGCAAAGCGAGGGCGAGGACGCAGGTGAAGACGGGGACGGGGTCCCGGGAGGCGAAGCGAGAGCGAAGGCGAGAGCGAAGCGAGAGCGAGGCGAGGGCGGGGGCAAGGCGGGGTGAGGGAAAGGCACGAGAGCGAGGGCGAGGGCAAAGGCGAGGGGAAGGACGAGGGTGAAGACGGGGACGGGTCCCGGCGAGCGCGAGAGCGAGGGCGCGGCGCGGGCGAGGCGAGGGCGAGGGCGAGAACGAGGGTAAAGACGGGTGGGGTCCGGGCGAGGGCGAGGGCAAGACGAGGGCAAGGGCACGGCAAAGCGAAGGCGAGAGCGAGGGCGAGGCGGGGCGGGGGCGAGGGCGAGGCGAGGGCGAGGGCAGGGTGAGGCGAGGGCGAGGCGAGAGCGAAGCGACGGGCGGGCGAGGGCGAGGCCGGAGACGATGGCGATGGCGAGGGTGGGGGGAGGCGGGATGAGGGCGAAGGGCGGGGGTGAGGGAAAAAGCGAGAGCGAGGGCGAGGGCAAAGCGAGGCGAAGGTGCAGGCGGGGCGGGACCCGGGCGAGGGCGAGGGCGGGGGCGGGGGTGAGGGAAAGGGCGAGGGCGAGGGCGAGGGTGAGGGTGAGGGCGAGGGTGGTGGTGGTGGAAGAGGTGACGTTAACGGGGACGGAGGCGCGCTTATGTCCGCAACCGACAAAAGCGCCATGGTCTCGGAGAGCTGAATGCTCCAAAGCGAGCCAAGGGCCGCCCCGCGTGATGGAGAGTCGCTGACAGCTGCAGCTCCTGTTCCTCGCACCTCCGACTCCCGGCTCTTGTGAGAGTGATGTAGACCGTCCAAAGCCAAGGGCCAGCCAGTGGGATTCTCGTGGCGGTCATGGAACTAACGCTTCAACGTGACAAGGAAGTCATTGCAAGGAAAAAAATCGAAGAATATATAATACATTATTGATATTACATAGATACGTGTGCCTTCCAGTGTGTGTTTGTGTGTATTTCCAATATTTATAATTCAAAATTTAGGTGTTTAATTATAACTGCGTATTTTCCTAGGCCCTTTTTTATTAGGCTTGTAATTTTATTGATTAACTGCCTAATCTTAGTATGTGTCTACAAACATTTTGTTATTTTTTAGTGAACGATGCGGCTTACATTTCTGAAAGTGTAAGTGAGTTAATTTATATAGATTCCTAACACTTTGCATTCTGCTCTCTCGCCTACTATATCCTTACGTAACAAAGAGAATGTATTGTAATTCTTAAGAGAGGAAAATAGCGGAAAATGTTTCGTCTG